TAACACAGAGCCATTTTACCCCCTAGGGATATTTGGCAAAGTCTGGAGACATTTTGTTTCAACTCAGGGGGAAGGGTGCTACTGGCATCTCTTGGGTAGAGGCCAGAGATGTTGCTAAGCATCACACAACGCACAAGACGGTGCCCACGAAAAAGATTTATCCAACCCAAAATGTCAACAGTGCCAAGACTGACACATCTCAAATTTATCACTGTCTTCCTTCAAATAATATCATCATCACTTCATGTAATATAAGACATTTTAAGCATGCTGTTGCCATTCACTAGTAGCTGTGATACTGAACTCAACCAAACTACCTCTCTAGGTTCAATTTTCTTCATAAGGAAATTGGAAATAACTACCACATAGACATTCTACAAAAATTAAAATAATGTTTAGGATAGTGCCCAATATACTACAGCTGCTAACTTCTCGAAAAATTATTATGCTAATGGCTAACAAAGAAGATTTTAATTGATCTGAAATGAAGGAATAGGACATACTTAAAGAGAATCCTAAGTGACCCACATTCCCACATGGTTTAACTTTTCTTACAAATGCCTCTTCTGTAGTTCTCTACCTCCAAAATGATGCTGAGACTGCATGCTACTGGATTGGCTGGCAAAGTATGGCTTAGAAGAGAATTTGAAGAATCTTTTAGCCTCTGATACATAATCCCTTTTATTTACCTACATTTAATTGAAGACATCTGTAGGTGGTGCCGCACGAAATGTAATTCAGGCTTAGAAATGTCAATAAAAATGTCTGTAAGGGAGAGATCCCATGTAAACCTAGCAGGGGAATGCACATCAGCAGCTACAGAGCCACGCGAAATCAGGAATATAATGGAAATATGTTGCCGGACTTGACGAGGTGACAAAAGCTCTTTTCCCATAAAGCTTAATGAGCTCTGTTAGTCTTCAGCTTACAGAAATGTAAAAGGGTCAGCCCCACAGAGGGAAGGAACTGACTCTCCACACATGGCTCCATTCAAATGACAGCAGATCAAATTACTGATGTAATTACTATAACCTGACAATTCTGTTAGATTCATGTGGCAGTTAACTGTTTAGGACTTATAACAAAGGGACATGGTTCATTCACAGTAGTTTAGTTTTTGTAGGCAGAATGAAATTTAAAGTCTCCTTCATTTCCAACTGCAAACCTCATGTATTTTACTGTCTCCACCTGAACTATTTTTCTTTTATTCAAAATTAGGTAAGGTATCAATATTTGGGTATTACCCATATTTGCAACTTTCCTTCTCCAGCTGAAGCATAAGCTTAATGGCAAAATTAAACATTTAGAGAGTCTCAGCATTCTCCTGCCCTGGCTTTGTTTGGCTCTCAAGTTCTGCAAGGCGGCACAGCAACAGAATACTGAGCTCAGTGCTGCTGGAAATTCAGGGGCAGCAGCCACTAACTATGCCATCAGGTGGCCCCTGTGAAATTCCAAGCTAGAAAAATATCAACAGAATGCTCTCAAAGTATTTCCCAAATACTTCAAGAAAAGAAAAGCACATTGGTCATCTTTAATTTTGATTCTTTTGCCTCCTCCATGTCCATAAGCCCAGTAAGAAAAAAGATCAATTTAGCCAAGGTAAAAATATAACTCCAGATCATTAAATGGAAAAAGCAGATTAGACAGAAAATAACAGAAACTATCACTAAACTTTGATGATGATACTTTCCCTTCTACTTTTCACCAAAGATTTAAGCTTCTACACAATGATTCCCAATATTTAACATGAATAATAAGATGTAATTTTAAAAATATTTGTTTGGTACAACTCTAGGTACATGGTTGGTACCATTACAAGCCCTATTTATACCTGAGAGGATCCAAGAATGAAAAAGACAAAGATCCTGATCTTAAGTAGCTAGAATCTAGCTGGGAAGAGAGACTTAACCATATTGAGACATAAATATTAGACCTTGTGTGCTCTTAGCTAGTCCTGCCAGATTATGGGGGAAAGCTTGCTACTCTCAGCCTTAGCTGTGCCTAGTTTACTTATTTATTCATTCATTCATTCAACAAATATTTATTCAGTGCCTCCTATATAGTACTTAACAATACATGGAAACACAAGGAAACAAGAAAAACACGGTCCTTTCTCCTTGAGCTTACATTTGAGAAAAGTCTGTTAGTGAGGGCTATTTAAAGGCATCCTTGCCATTGTTTAGTAACATCTTCAAACTGCTACTTTGCCCCAGTGAAGGAGATATCAAGCTCCAGCTTCCTTATTTACTCCCTGTGCAGGTAAACTAATCCAGCCTTACTGCCTTCTGCTCAAAACCCCTACTCCTGGTTATTCCTCTGAGCTCCTGCTTAAATGAGAGTCCAGCCTTAATTGAGCATTATCAACGTAATCTCTTCATCTAAGCTCCTGCCCGTCCCTTTTTTTCCCCCAAGACTAGAACCTGTTTCCACATCAATTAGAGATTTCCCTGATGTACATCTCAGTCAAACACTGACTTATAAGAGCCATCATCAAAAACCTACCAAGGTACCTCATTCTCCCCATGTGACTCCTTCGTGGAAGAACAAGAGGTAAAATAATTTAGCATTTTGCAGTTAATGCTAACATTTGGTGTATCTCCTTCCTAACTAATTTCTGTATACTTAAATTGTTGGGTTTTTTTTTTTAACTTAAATTGTTTTTAAACTGAGATCTGCATGTATAATTTTGCATCCTGCTTCTGTCTCTTAGTACAAGCAAAAGTATTTTATACTGCTATTTTTCATCAATATACACACATGAACATACATGCGTGATCATTACTTTAATGGCTACTGGGTGTTCTATCATATGGCCGGCTGCACCATGATTTATATGACCTTTTCCTACGGTTGAACATTTAAATTATTTACAAATTTTTGCCATTATAAATAATGCTTTAACAAACATATTTAAGCAAGTTTTGTCCCAATCTTTATTTCTCTGGCAGTGATTCCTAGATAAGAATTACTCAACCACAAGGTATGCATTTCTATAAGATCTTTAATGTATATGGCCAAACTGATTTCTATAAAGGATGAAGTTTTTAAAAACATCCCATCTCATCACATCTTCCCAAGCATTCACTTAAAAATAAAAAAGATATCTTGATAGTTAAAAAAATGTATGTAACTGCTATTTTAAATTGCATTCCTTTGATGACTTATAAGATTAAACTTTTGAAAACATATTACCATTTGTATTTCAGCTGATCAACTATCTGGTAAGATCCAACCAAATATTATGCAAAAGAAAACACTACATTTAAAAACGGTTTCTAAGAGATTATATTAAGTATAATAATCTTTTTATCACACTTTCTCAAATTGCCTCTTAACTACGTATGTCTTCAGGAACCAAATCATGGATTTTTTTACAAAATCAGATCGAATTTTTCCATCCTTTCCTTTGTGATACTTCCCATTCTATACTTAGAAAGTGCTTCATCGATTAAAGAGTTTACACTGTCTTCAAGTTTCTTATGGTAGTTTTAATTTTTATTGTTTTTACACCAAACTATTTAAAATTCCGTGTGACAGGCATCGTACTCAGTGTTTACCACACATTATCTCATTTCATTTTAATAACCCTGTAAGTTAAGTATTATTATTACCTCCACTTTTTAAATTAATTGAAAGATGAAATTACTTACTCATGGGTCACCCAAGGATCTCTCATTTCAAAACCCAGGATCTTTCCAGGCTTTGTTTCGCCTTTGGTCCTGGACATTTAGAAAATGTAACCAAGCCTGGATGGTACTACCTGCTCTGGTCTGCTCAATTTCCCCTGGAAATCATTCAAACTGGCCACCACGAGGTCTCAAGGAGGCCACCAGGAGGCTGGGCCACACCACACAACAATAGTAGCTTCAATAAGCACAGAATGCAATATTATGGAAGCAGAAAAGGGAAGAACTGTCTCTATGTGGAGCAGTCAGAGAGGGCATCACAGAGGACACAACATCTAGGCTCACCCTGAAGCGGGATATGATTTGAAGAGGTTGGGAGTGGGGAAGGGAACACAGAGTGAAGTAAACAATAGAGGCCAAAGGAAGGACAAATGAAAGGCAGGGACAGAGTCTTATCATAGCCTGAAGCATAGCCTGAGAGAAGAATACAAAATATTAGTAAGATATGAATAGCGCTTTATAAACCGCTCCCCTGCCCATTGCTTCATTTGAGAGGTAGAAATTATTTGCATTTTAAATATGAGAAAGCTGAGGCTCAGGGAAGCTGCGACTGCCCAGTGTCACATGGCTAGTAAGTGAGGACCTGATCTTAACCCCAGGTTTGGTACCAAGTCCAATGTCCCTCCACACACCCAGCTGCTTCCCCTTTCCGACTCCTTTCCCAAAGCCTCGTCCAACTTCTCCAAGTAATAACTCCTCATCAACCACAGCTCACACTGATAACTGGTTCTCTGATTACCTAAGAGTTTTCCTCATCTCACAATTTATCGCTGGATTTTCGGTTCTAAATTGCAGAACCATTATGAGAATCAGATGAGAAAGTGAATCTGGCACCTAGAATCATGCCTGTGTTATGATGAAGCTCAATACAAGGGAAGGCCTTTGCTCTTCCCTAGTCAATTCATGGATATTAAAAAGTTCTCTCAAACTAACTGAAACCTCCTTGATGACAGCCTCTGCCCAGACTTCTCCAGCTCTCCTTTAACACCAGGGCAGTTTACAGAGGATAAGGCCAATGTGAGAGCGGCATGGGAGTAAGGAGATACAACAAGGCTCTTTAAAATGGACTGACTTTATTCTACCTATTAAAATGCAAGCAATGACCTGCTGTGAAGGTCACTGCCCTCACAAAGCTCTGTAACTTACCAGAATAGCTCTGTAACTTATAGGAATTCTTATAAAGGAAAGTCTGCATTCATCTCATTACTGGTATTCAAGAATATATCATGACGAAATGATCAGTCTTAAATTATCAAATGCCTCACAAAAGATACCAATAGCAATTCTAATTTCAAGGTCACTGAGTAATCTTACCTCCAAAGGTGAGCTGCAAAGGAATCTTGTGAACTGCAGAGTCACATTTGAATAAAATCAGTTTCATCCAATAAATGAGCAGCAAAAGAGAACACACAAAAAAAGGAAAAATTATTACAAAATTTTTCAAAAAGAGCACGTAAAGCAAACCTAAATGTCTATATATAGTTAACGTTTCATACATTGTATCATTCATTCACAGACTACAGAAAAGTTCAATCTAGCCCACAGTAGGTACCCAACTATGTGAACAAGTTTAAATAAACATTTCTCAAAATCTGTATAAAAACAAAGCACAACAAATTCGTCCTAAAATATTTTGCTTTTTAAAGTTTTATCTCACAACCCCTATATAATAAAACATTCTCCAAGGGAGGAATCAGCAATCTTCCTAATCATAAGTGCCACAGGCAAAGTTAGGTAAATGCCAAGAGAAGAAAAAGATATAAATCAAAGGTGACACCAAGAAGAGAGAGAAATTAAAAAATCAAGACCAAGAGAGGAGGTTGGGTGAGTGAGAGTGAAGGAAAGGGGACGTTATTTCTCTGGTACCCAGTCTGTGATGTTTTACACTGTTCTGCCCCTTCCTCTTTTTTTTCAGCCCCATATGCATATTTTTTTCTCTCTGCTCTCTCTTTCTCTGACACAAATAGAGCCTTATAAATTTCATCTGAAAGTAAGTGTTACATGCTGACTGTTTCTCAGCATTTAAATAAAGAAACTAATTTTGGAGCTGGGGAGGAGCCATGAAACATGACAAAGCAAATCGTAGATTAGCTCTGAAATGAGGACTGTCACATTACTTCATACATATTCATGATGGTAATTCATAATGTTCTCTTAGATGTTATTTACAAAATCAACACTTCAAATCCTTTGAGATGTATTGTGATAATAAAAAAAGCCAAGTAATGTAAACTCTGGATCTTACTGAATACAAATTAACTACAATGAAATGTAATGGCAGGTCTGTTTCCAAGCACTCTTGAACTTCCTCTCCACAACAAAGCTCGCTAGTACTCACTGGGAATACAAATAATCTGATGCTCTTTCAGAGGTACACACTGAAATATTTCTCAATGAAATTACATGATGTCTGGGATTTCCTTCAAAATCACTGGGGGGTTGGGAGGAAAGTAATGGTGGGGAATGCACAGATAAAACAAGAAGAGTCATTACATTAAACTAGTGAGGACAGGAGATGAATATATGAGGACTCATTATACAATTCTCTCTACTTTGTGAATGTTTAAAGTTTTCATAATAAAGTTTAAAAAATATATCAGATACTTCCTCCCCCCAAAACGAAAGCAAATATTTTCCTTAAAGACTACTAGTGCATACCAAAGCCACATAATTAACTAGTAAGTATCATCTAAGCCTTAGATGACAGGGTATACTAAAATAAAGGCACTGTAAGATTTTTTTCTTAATTTAAATGATATGAATATGCAATTCAATTATATTAACTGTTAGAGGAGAAATTTCTGAAAGTGCAAGATACACCAAATTTTAAAATTTCATAATGCTGACATGAAGCACATAATTCCATTGAAATTTAAAGTGCAACCTTTGTGGTCTTGGATTCTTTTTACATTAGCCTAACATAAAACAATCTCTGCCCTTCCTCCCAAGAATAAAAAGTAATACTTGAAAGACTACCCAGTTTTAATAGTGGAGAAAAATGAGGCATGGTGCATTTTTATTTTAAAATGAGAAATTTGCTACTGTAGGGTTTCCGTGCTTTTCTCCAGTATGTGCATGTTAACTATATTATACATATACTACATTAGAATTTAGAAGTACTTCTGGTTCAGTCGTACCTAATGCATCAATTATGATGGTAGTGTGAAACAAAATTCATATTTTATGGCAAGATAAGAAAATTTTAAACATAAAAAATTCTTCTCTGTCCTTTGGCCTCCTCTCTCCCCTCTAATGTACACTGTGTATCTGCGGTATGCATCCACCAAACCTCCTCAACAATAAAGCGCAACATTCTCCCAGCACCGATAAGACAACTCCTTAAAAGATAACATTCCATCTTGATCTTGTAAGGGGTCACACAACCCATCACTTTGTACTTGCAGATCTGGACTGTGTAAGTCAATAATACATCATTTAATGTATAGGCCCCTGTGTCAAAAAACTTCTGTAATTGTGCTTTGACTTCTAACGGGCAGAACAGTTCTTGGAGCTTTCTGAGAAGCTGCTCCCAGCTTATAATCCTCAATTTAGCTTGAATAAAATTTTCAATTTCTTTCTTAGATTGACTGGACTGATTAATTTTTCATCTGACAGAAGTCACTTTAAATAATGATAGAGTAGCATATACTCTCCAAGAAAACTATTGTCTCCTGGAAGCTCCAATAATCTACATACATCTTTGTCATGTACATATGTAACATTCGTGTCACAGGTTTTTTCAAAACAGACCTAAAAATTCTTTTCCTGTTTGAAGCTGCCAAAACATGAAATATATAAATACAGTTCTCAATCAGCAAAGCAGTAAAACAGAATAACCGATCACAAGGCACACATTCACTATCCTATTCACAGGACATGAAAAACGCTAAAAAATGCTTTGTTTAGTTTAGTGACCAGAAAAACCCACTGCTATTTTCCCTTCAGTTAATTACTTAGTAAATTTTTTCATAATGAAATGATGCATATTATATCCAGTCGAAAAGAAGGTAACACTTTGAAAAACAATAATCATAAAACAGCAAATATAATTGCAAAATACATTTTGTATATACACTGAAACTGATTACCAGAAATAGAAACCTTTTAACAAATACCACCGTGATGTTAGATCAGTACCAAAAATGGCTCAATTCTGCTGTGAATCTAAAACTTCTCTTAAAAAAATAAAGCCTGCTATAATGTAGGGGAGCAGAATTTGCCACCCCAAAATGTGTCTCTTTGGAATATTATCTTAAGCTGGTTATTGTCTAAGAAACAGCAGAATTCGGGAAAACTCTGAAAACCAAGTAGGATTTGCCCCTTTGCAAGAAAACATTTACATTAGTAATGGAAATATTTTGTAAGGGTGTCTCCCTTGCTGTATCTGGAGGAGGAGGAAAATGTAACCAACCTGCCAAATATATAGAAATAAAAACAGCAAATCAGGTGACAGAGGAATATGTTTCAAACAAAGGAACAAGATAAAATCCCAGAAGAAGAATTATGTGAAGTAGAGATAAGCAATCTATCTGATAAAGAGTTCAAGGTAATGATCATAAAGATGCTCAAAGAACTCGGGAGAAGAATGGATGAACAGAGTGAGGAGTCAGATGTTTTTAACAAAGAGAAAATATAAAAAAGAACCAAACAGAGGTGAAGTGTACAATAACTGAAATAAATAATACACTACGGGACTTCCCTGGTGGTCCAGTGGATAAGACTCCATGCTGCCAATGCAAGGGGCCCGGGGTTCAATCCCTTGTCAGGGAACTAGATCCCGCTTGCCCCAACTAAGAGTCCGCATGCCACAACTAAAAGAGCTCACTTGCCACAACTAAAGATCCCGCATGCTGCAAGGAAGATCCCACGTGTCGCAACTAAGACCCAGCACAGCCAAATAAATAAATATTTTAAAAAATAATAACAGTAATACACTATAAGGAATCAACAGTAGATTAGATGATACAGAGGAAGAGATGGGCAAGTTGGAAGATAAACAGTGGAAATCACCAAAGCTAAACAGGAAAAAGAAGAAAAAAAAAAGAAATGAGGACAGTTTAAGAGACCTCTGTAACAGCATCACATGTACTAACATTCTCATTTGTAGGGGTCCCAGAAGGAGAAGAGACAGAGAGACAGAGAGACAGAGAGACAGAGAGACAGAGAGACAGAGAGAGAGAGAGAGAGAGGCAGAGGACATATGTCAGTACATAATAGCTGAAAATTTCCCTAACCCGGAAAAGGAATGAGATATCCAAGTCCAGGAAGCACAGACAGCCCAAACAGGATCAACCCAAAGAAGACCATACAAAGACACACCATACTTAAAATGGCAAAAATTAAAGATAAAGTGACAACAAAGGAGGCAAGAAGGCAAGAATATACAATGGGGAAAAGACAGTCTCCTCAATAAACTGTGTTGGGAAAACTGGACAGCTACACGTAAAAACATCAAAGTGGACTACTCTCTCACATCATGCACAAAACTTTTAAATGGATTAAAGACTTAAATTTATTTTTTAAAATATTTTATGAAGTACAGCTGATTTACAGTGTTGTGTTAACTTCTGCTGTACAGCAGTGATTCAGTTATACATATATATATATTCTTTTCATATTCTTTTCCACTATGGTTTATCATAGGATACTGAATACAGTTCCCTGTGCCATACAGTAGGACCCTGCTGTTTATCCATCCTCTATATACTAGTTTGCAACTGCTAATCCCACACTGCCAGTCCTTCCCCCTCCCACCGCGCCCCCTGCCCCGGCAACCACAAGTCTCTTCTCTATGTAAAGACTTAAATTTAAATGTAAGATCTGAAACCACAAAACTTCTAGAAGAAAACACAGGCAGTACATTCTTTGACATCAGTCTTAGTAATATATTTTTGGTATGTCTCCTCAGGCAAGGGAAATAAAAGCAAAAATAAACAAACAGGACTACATCAAACTCAAAAGCTTTTTGCACAGAGAAGGAAACTATCATCAAAGAGAAAAGGCCACCTATTGAATGGGAGAAGATATTTGCAAACAATATATCTGATACAGGGTTGCTACCCAAAATATACAATTCAACATCAAAAAAAGAAATACCCTGATTAAGAAATGGGCAGAGAACCTGAAATGACATTTTTCCAAAGAAGACATATAGATGGACAACAGGTACATGAAAAGGCATCACTAATCATCAGGGAAATGCAAATCAAAACCACAATGAGATATCACCTCACACCTGAAATGACTATTATAAAAAATACAACAAACAACAAGTGCTGGCAAGGATGTGGCAAAAAGGGAACCCACGTGCACTGTTGGTGGGAATGTAAACTGGTGCAGTGACTATG